TTTCTGGGTAGGTTCAGGGATGGGTCCATGAGAGTGGAAAAATATGAAGCTAGTTCTTTGTGGGCTGACTGGCAAAGGTAGAAGCTGAGGGTAATAGCAGCAGCATCACAAATTGGTCAGTCCATATTCTCACTCCTTCCTCATAAGGATGTACCAAGAAAAGGTGCAACATCATGCTGGGGAAATCCAGGACCTCCGAGGTAACTTGAATCAGCTCATTGCCAAGCTCCAGAAGATGGAAGCCATGTCAGATGAGGTGAGATGCTGGCCATTCTGCCCCCAAACACCTGACCTCTCTTTGTTTGATGCCCCACTCCTCATATCCCAAGTTTTGGTGGAGCATATCCCACAATAATTTCCTGGGAAAGAGCAAACTAAGAGGTATATTATTTTTTTAAGAACTTGCGTGTTTGAAAACATCTTTACTCTACTCTTGCACTTGATTGATAGTTTGGCTGGGAATAGAATCCTAGATAGGAAATTTTCCCCTGAGGATTTTGAAAGACGTCCACTATTGTGTTCTATTTTATACTGTTGCTTTAGAGAAGTTTAATGTCACTCTTATTATTCATCCTTTGAGTGTGATCTGTTTTCATTCCTGAGAGTTTGTAGGATATTCTTTTTACCTCCAGTGTTCTATATTTAATCTGCTTGGGGGGTTGCTGAAATTATTGACTCTATGGGTTGATTTTTTTTCAATAGTTTAGGAAAATTCTTAGCTATTATTTCTTAAAATATTGTTTCTACCCCATTATCTTCTTAAAATATTGTTTCTACCCCATTATCTATCTCCTCTCCTGGGACTCCAATTACATCTATGCTAAACTTTAGAGTGCTTTCCACATAATTCCTATATTATTACCTGGTTTGCTTGTTTTTTCATTCTTTTTCTCTATGTGCTTAAGTTTTGATACTTCCTCTTCATATTTCTTCAGGTTAACTAATAATCCTGTAGTCTGTTCTGTCCAATCTACTCAAATCTTTCCATTAAGTTCTTAATTTCATATATTGTATTGTTTAGTTCTAGAACATAAATTTGATTCTTTTTCATAGTTTTTAATTCTATGGTGAAATTCTCCATCATTTCATCTATGCTGTCCGTCTTTTCCTTTATTTTATTTAACATACTGGTCACAATTATTTTTAAATCCTTGTCTGCTAAATCTAATATCTGGATCATCTATGGTCTCCTATTTTCCGTTTTTTCTTTGGAGTATCAATCTTATGGTCTTGCCTTTTCATGTCTGGTAATTTTTTAGTGTTTTCTGGACATTGTTTACAAAAGAACTAGATGCTCCAGATAATTATAATTTCAAACAGGGAGAGTTCCCCCTTTTCTTTGTAAGGAAGATGAAGTATACTGATCACTTCTGTGTAAACATGCATTGAACTGGTTCAGACCTGGATTGCAATTTTTATAGGATTTAGTCAGAGGTTTTCAGTTTAACCCTCTAGCCTCCTGCCTGTGCAGTTTCAAAAATTGGTAATTTTTTTTTTTTTTGGCCGTGCTGGGTCTTCGTTGCGGTGTGCGAGCTTCTCATTGGGGTGGCTTCTCTTGTTGCGAAGCTCGAGCTCTAGGCTTGCAGGCTTCAGTAGTTGTGGCGGGCAGGCTCAGTCGTTGTGGCTCGTGGGCTCTAGAGTGCAGGTCCAGTAGTTGTGGCGCACGGGCTTAGTTGCTCCATGGCACGTGGGATCTTCCGGACCAAGGATCGAACCCATGTCCCCTGCATTGGCAAACAGATTCTTAACCACTGCACCACCAGGGAAGTCCTCGTAAATGTCTTGATGGGAAAGGCTGCCATGTGTTTGAGGCCTCTTGAGTTTCCGATTTTTTAAAATTTATTTTATTGAAATATAGTTGATTTTCAATGTTGTGTTAATTTCTGCTATACAGCAAAGTGATTCAGTCATACATACATATATATTCTTTCTCATACTTTTCCATTATGGTTTACCACAGGATATCGATTATAGTTCCCTGTGCTATACAGTAGGACCTTGTTGTTTATCCATTCTATATATAATGGTTTGCATCTGCTAGTCCCAAACTCCCAGTCCATCCCTCCCCCACCTCCCCTCCCCCGTGGCAGCCACAAGTCTGTTCTCTATGTCTGTGAGTCTGTTTCTGTTTTGTAAATAAGTTCATTCATGTCATATTTTAGATTACACATATAAGTGATATCATATAGTATTTGTCCTTCTCTTTCTGACATACTTCACTTAGTATGATCATCTCTAGGTCCATCCATGTTGCCACAAATGGCATTATTTCATTCTTTTTTATGGCTGAGTTGTATTCCACTTTATATATGTATATATACCACATCTTCTTTATTCATCTGTTGATGGCCATTTAGGTTGTTTCCATGTCTTGGTTATTGTAAATAGTGCTTCAATGAATATTGGGTGCATGTACCTTTTCGAATTACACTTTTGTTTGGATATATGTCCAGGATTGGGACTGTAGGATCATATGGCAACTCTATTTTTAGCTTTTTGAGGAGCCTCCATACTGTTTTCCATAGTGGCTGCACCAATTTACATTCCCACCAACAGTGTAAGAGGGTTCCCTTTTCTCTATACCCTCTCCAGCATTGGTTATTTGTAGAATTTTTAATGATGGTCATTCTGACTGGTATGAGGTAGTCCCTCGTTGTTTTGATTTGCATTTCTCAAATAATTAGCAATGTTGAGCATCTTTTCATGTGCCTGTTGGCCATCTGTATGTCTTCTTTGGAGAAATGTCTATTTAGGTCTTCTACCCATTTTTGATTGGGCTGTTTGGTTTTTTGTTATTGAGTTGTATGAGCTGTTTGTATATTTTGGAGATTGAGCCCTTGTTGGTCGCATCATTTGCAGATATTTTCTCGCAGTCTGTAGGTTGTCTCTTCATTTTGTGTATGGTTTCCTTTGCTGTACAGAAGCTCATAAGTTTGATTGGTTCCATTTGTTTATTTTTGCTTTTATTTTTATTGCCTTGGGAGACTGATCTAAGAAAAACAATTGGTACAATTTATGTCAGAGAATGTTTTGCCTATGTTCTCTTCTAAGAGTTTTATGGTATCATATCTTATATTTAAGTCTTTTAGCCATTTTGAGTTTATTTTTGTGTATGGTGAGAGGGTGTGTTCTGACTTCATTAATTTCATGTAGCTGTCCATCTTTCCCAACACCACTTGCTGAAGAGACTGTCTTTTCTCCATTGTATCAATATATTCTCACCTTCTTTGTCAAATATTAATTGACCATAGGTGTGTGGATTTATTTCTGGGCTTTGAGTTTCCAATTTTGGATACAAAATCTCTGACCCCACTGGAAGCCTTACCTGCCAGGGTCAAGCTTGGATTCTCAGCCTCTAATTGTACCCATAATTGGTTTAGTGCCCTCAGGTAAGCACAGCTGTAGCTACTCAGTATTGATTTAGCATTTCTTCTAGGGCATGAGTTCTTACAGTGAGGCCCCTATTCCAGCAGCATCCGCATTAACTGGAAAAATGTTAAAATTTTCAAATTAATGGGCCCCACCCAGACCTACCAAATCATATACTTTGATGATGGGAACCAACTATCTATGTTTCAACAAGTCCTTCAGTGATTCTGGCACACAATAAGGAGAATCACTTTTCTAAGGCTTTAACCTCTTGCTTGTTTTGTTTTGGGGTCCACTTCCTCAGAGGGACTTTGTTTACTAAGGCTTGTGAGACCAGGAAGTTTTATTCTGCCTTTCAGAAGCTTTCAAAGTAGCCCTTTAGCTTCTTACATAGTCTTGGGGTTCAGTTAGCATCTAATGGAGGAAAGTGGTCATGGTCAAGGCTCCTCAAATCTCCAATTTTGTCCCACCCACTGTAGGTAACTGTTAAAAACTTTGCTACTTTCTCTTTTACCAGTAGCAGCCCCTTGTCTGACCCAAACTCAGATCCTCAACCCATGCCCAGAATCATCAAATGCCCCAGGGATTTTTTTAAGAATGTCAGCACATTTTAGAGTGGTTGTCCCCTCTCTAGAATTTTAGTTCCTCTGTTCCTGTTTCTTTCATAGCTCAGTGATGGTTTTAAAATATGATTTAGTAAACTATCTGGCTTTTTCTAGTTGTTTTTAGTGGGATCATTGGTTCTCTGTAACTTACTACATCTTACCTAGAAGCCCTACCTCTTACCTTATAGCTGAAATGTCACAATAATATGCCTATGGGCTGGCCACACTTGGAACCCTTTTAATTTGGAAACGTGTTCTTTAGTCCTAAGAAATGTTCTTTAAGAAAGACAAATATCGTATGATATCACTTATATGTGGAATTTAAAATATGATAAAAATGGACTTATTTGCAAAACAGAAACAGACTCACAGACATAGAAAACAAACTTACGGTTTCCAAAGGGGAAAGGGGGGAGGGATAAATTAGAGGGGGAGTTTGGGATTAACATATACACACTACTATATATGAAATAGATAAACAACAAGATCCTACTGTATAGCACAGGGAACTATATTCAACATCTCTTCCTATAATAGAAAAGAATTTGAAAAATATATAGATGTGTATAACTGAATCATTTTGCCGTACACCAGAATCTAACATAACAATGTGAATCAACTATACTTCAATTAAAAAAAAAAGAAATGTTCTTTAATCATGTTATTAAATTGATGATTTCCCCCTGGCCCTGGTTGCTCTAGTCTCAGTTTTGAAACTACTCATTATGTGGATGTCAAACTCCTAAACTAATACTCTGGGATTTTTTTTTCACCCCATTTTCCTCTCTTTATCTTTTTGCTCTGCAGTTGAGAAAACATTGTCAGCTTTAGCTACCAAACCTTCTACTGAGTTTTTCATTTCTGCTAATGTATTCTGAATTCGTAACGGTTTTCTCTTTGTTCTCTCGGTGCTCCTTTTCATATTATTTTCCTATTCTTAATTTATAGATGCAGTATCTTTTCTTTTTTTATCTTTTTATGAGCAAAATCTTTTCTTACCTTTTGGAGTTCAGCTCTTACTTCTCTGTGCCTCAGTTTCCACATCAACGAAATAGAGTAATAATCACGGCCCTATAACACTCTAGCTATCATCTTAGTTACCACTGCTGCATGACAATCCAACCTAAAACGTTGTGGTGCAAAACTACCATTTTATTATGTTCAGAGATTCTGTGGGTCAGGAATTCAGACAGGACACAGCGGGGATGGTTTGTCACTGCTTCATGATGTCTGGGGCCTCAGCTGGGAAGACCTGAAGGCTAGGGGTGACCCAATAGCTGGGTCTGGAATCATCTGGAGGAATCTTTATTCACTTGTCTGGAGGTTGATGCTGGCTGTCGGCTGGGAACTCGGCTGTTGACTAAAGCACCCATAGTGGTCCCTTCGTATGGCACGGGCTTCCTCACAACACGGCAACTGGCTTTCAAGAGTGAGCGTCCCCAGAGAAGCAGGCGGTTCACCTTTTAGGACTGAGCCCACAAGTCGTACAGCATCACTCCTGCCATAGTCACAGGCCCATCCAGACCGATGGGGAAGGAACTGAAGTCCCACGTCTCCATGAGAAGGGTGTCAAAGCCACACTGAAGGAGGAGCGGGGAACGGGAGACATTTTTGCAGCCATTTTTAGAAAATACAATCTGTCACCGCTGTGAAGAGTCTAACAGAATAATAGCCGGTGATTACTGAGCACCAACTATGCTAAACGCTTTGCGGTCTTTCTCTGGCAACAGAGCATAGTGGTTGAGAGCCTGAACTCTGGAACCCAAGTTCCCGGGTCTGCCTCTTAACAGGTGTGTGACCCTGGACAAGTTACCCTTTTGTGCCTCAGGGTTCTCCTCCTTAAAATGGGGATGATAATAGTACATACCTCCTAGGGTTGCTGTGGGGGCATAAGAGTGACCATACGTGAAGCCGAAGACAATCCTGGCATATAGTAGCGGCTTTGAGTCTCAGCTCTAATCCTTGCAAAAGTAGGAGGTGGACGCGATTATCAGCCCATCTTACAGACAAGAAAATCGAGACTCAGGGGGCGGTAAATAGCCCAAGGGCTCTTAGCAGGAAAGGTCTGACTCCAGCTCCCCTGCCCTTAACTTCACTGAGACCCCTGGTCCTGCGTGTGTGACATCCCATCACAGTGGGTGTGAAAATACTAAGTAACCCCATGGGTGGGATAGGGCTGGCCCTGGGCTTCCTCACAGCATAGCACGGGGCAGCCCTGTGTGTGGACCACGCAGGGGCAAGCAGGTAGGGACAAGAGGGAGTCCTGAAGGCACACATCACCTGGTGTGAACACACCTGTAGACCATGATCCATAAGAACGCACGAGTGCACAGCTTGGGTTTTCTGCCTTCTCAGCAAAAAATGGCCCAGAAAATAATGAAGATGATCCAAGGAGATTACATTGAAAAGCCGGACTTTGCCCTGAAGTCGATAGGTGAGCGCCTCTCCCTGCCCCCCCTCCCCCTCCCCCTTGCCCCACCAATCGGCCCACCTCCAGTTTCCTTAGATACCCTTCAGAGGGTGATTTCAGTTCTGGTCTGGGGCACACCCTGCTGCTGGGAAGTTTGTCCTCAGAGCTAACCTCTGCCTCCCAGCTGGTCTCCTTGTTACAGTTTTCCGTTTTCTCCCATGGCAGCTGAGGTGGGGAGGGGAGGGGAGGCCCTTCCCCAGCCCTCCCCCACCCATCATCCTCCAAATCCAGGGGTCAGCAGAGTTGTCCCTGCCCGGCTGGGGAGACTGACCACGGGCCAATTACAGTTGGCAATCGTGCCTTGGAAAAATAAAGCCAGTGGCTGCAGTAGAGGGGTGGGAAGGAGGGCACTGGGTTGAGACCTGGTGAGGAGGGAAAAGCGTTCCAGACTAAGGGAACCGACGTGAAAGGTGCCCCTGTGAGGGGCTGTGTGGAAAGAAGGGAGGTGGGCCGGCAGGGTGGGCTGCCCTGTGCAGACAGTACCAGCTCACGCAGGCACCCGCAGGCCCAAGGAGATGTAGGGTCAGAAGGCATCAGTCTAACTTCTCAGGCCCGGAGTTTTTTCCTCTGTGAAATGGGTATAATCATGGCCATAGTAATAATAACCAGGTTATAGTAACTAGGCTGACGTAAGTGAGCAAGCACCTTACTTCGCACCAGGCGCTGCTGGAAAAAGTTTGGTGTATTAACTCCTCGTAACCTCACAACAACCCTATGAAATGGATGCTATCGTTACTACTATTATTGTTACTATTATTACTCCCATTTCCCAGAGGAGAACACTAAAGTCCAGAGAGCACCAGTGACTCTTCCAAAGTGCTCCCCCGGCACATAGTGAGTCTCCCCTCCACCAGGCAGAAGCCAGGGCTGCTCAGCTGAGACACCCCTCCCCCCAACCCTGCACCATCACCTCCCATACAGGGGCCTCCATCGACTATGAGCAAACGTCAGCCACATACAACCACGACAAGGCTCGCTCTTACTGGAACTGGATCCGGCTTTGGAACTATGCACAGCCCCCGGACGTGATCCTTGAGGCAGGAGGAATGGCAGGACTTGGGGAGAGTGGCAGGGGTGTGGTCAGGGGCCTGGGGGCAGGAACTGAAGGCAGAGGTTGGAGCGAGAGTGCAGGGGGTGGGGGCCTGGGGCAGGGGTAGGAACAAGAGAGCGGGGTGCAGAGGCAGAGAAAGGGGGCAACTGATGGGGCAAGGGGGGCTCTGGGGAGAAGTCAGGGAGCAAGGGCAAGAGGCGAGTGCAGACAGCAGGGACCCCTGGGGGGGGCAGGCACAGGGGCAAGGACAGCCTGCTTTGGCACTGGAAAGGGACCCTCCCCCAGCCCTCAAGTCTTGAGGGGCAGGGAACCCTCAGGGCCCTGAGAAGGCCCCTGCCCTCGCTGCGCTGGGCTGAGGGGAAGGCTTATCCTTGCTACCACCTATAGTCAGGGAATCTTCCTGGTGCTGGTGGTACTCGAGCCAAGCTTTGTAGACAGGAAGGATCTGGCTCATCCAGGAGGGCCGATGAGGTCTAGGCAAGCCAGGGTGGGATGAGGAATCTGCTCTCACCCACCCACCCACCCACCCAGCAAAGCCCTCATTGCATCTGCCACTTCTAGCCCAACATGACACCTGGCAACTGCTGGGCCTTCTCGGGTGACAGAGGCCAGGTGACCATCCAACTGGCCCAGAAGGTCTACCTGTCCAACCTGACACTGCAGCACATCCCCAAGACCATCTCACTGTCAGGCAGCCTGGACACTGCCCCCAAGGACTTCGTCATCTATGTGAGCACGCCCTGGCCGGGAGCGATGCTTAACTGAGGGAGGGAACAGCTCATAATGGCAGTATTCCAGGCACTGTGATAAACTGTCTGCACAATTCCCGAAGCCTGCAGGGGCTGGACCTTAAGGCTGGGAATGGGCAGGGTTGGGGTCAGATCACAGCCTTCAAGGAAAGGGGGTAAACAGTACTTTATTTCAACCCAAGCTTTTCAGAGCCAATTTAGTCTTCAGAGACCATTAAGCCCCCATTTTACGGATAAGAAAACTGGAGATTCAGAGAAAGGGCAGGGAAACATCAAACCCTACAAGTCTATGGCAGAGTTAGAAGTGGACCCCTAACCTACTGACTCCCAGTCCAATGCTCTTTCCTATTCATTTACTCTGTGCTGCAATGCTACGGTGCCCAAAGAGGTAGGGAGCTCCCCATCCTGGGAGGTGTGCAAGTCTCGGCTGGGAGAAGGCAGCACCCTCTAGATGTCCTACCTGTGCCTGACACTTTCTTTGTGGTTCTGATTCTCCAGGGCATGGAAGTTTCCCCAAAGAAGGAGGTGTTCCTGGGAGCGTTCCAGTTTCAGCCAGAAAACATCATTCAGATGTTCCAGCTCCAGGTACATGAGAAAAGCTGCCCACGTTGAGCACCTGATGAACACACACTGCGTGCAGGGCTTTACCCAGGGGCCCCCACTTCATCTCCCAGCAGCCCGAGGAGGTGCACAGTTGTCACTAACCCACTGACAGATGAGGAAACTGAGGCCCAGAGTGACAGAGCTACTGCCCAGGGCCTAGGGTAGGACCCTGAGGAGACCTATTCGCTTCCATTTCCCTGACCTGCCCAGGATCCCTCCCGCTGTGGTTCCTCCCAGGGACAGCAAGTGTTGAGCAGGTGGGGCCCGTCAGGCCAGGGTTGCTGGCCTCAAACTTAGAGTCTCCATACTGGGGGGCCACATGATCAGCACCTGGTCCAACCACAGGTGGGGAAGCTGAGGCCTGGAGGGGAGGGAGTTGGGGACAGAAGCAGGACCAGAGGGTGGCTGCTGGAATGGCCCTGAGGCTCAGTGGGATGTCTAGGCTTGGGAATCAGGCTAACCCTGACCCAAATCCTGACCCAGCCAAACGTTCTCTGTGATCTCAGGCCATTCCCTTTCTCTCTGGGCCTCAGTTTCCCGTGGTGTAATTCCCTGGTAGGTTGAGACCATCCAGTGAGATCTCACAGGCCAAGGCCCCCTTTTGCACTGGGCTCCATCCCCTCTGGGGAGGGTGCAAAAAGGGGAGGGCGAAGCACTTACGGAGCACCTACTGTGTGCCAGGTGCCAGTAAGCCATCTGGCCCCAAGATCTCATTTCATGCTTACGGCAACCCTGAGAAGCAGGTATTACCGCTCCCTCTTACAGACGGGGACTGAAGCCCAGAGAGGGCGTGGTTTGCCCAGGGTCCCGGAGCACGTATGTGCTGTGCTGGGACGCATTCCTCATCACAGTCTATCTGTCCTCTGGCCTCATCCCCTTCCATCCCAGCCCCTGAGTAGCAACTTACTGTGTGGCTTTGGGACATTCTGCTCTCTGAGCCTCAGTTTCCCCACCTGAGGAAATGGAGGGTTCCCTTTCTCTCCCAAACACTCCTCTGGACAGGCCGGGTGGGGGCCTATGGCGAGCTGCCCCCCGTCTGTGACTCTTTTCTAGAACCACCCTCCCAGGACTTTTGGAGCAGTCAAGGTGAAGATATCAAGCAACTGGGGGAACCCACGCTTCACCTGCCTATACCGAGTGCGTGTGCACGGCTCTGTGACCCCACCCAGAGAGCAGCCTAACTAGAGGCCCCACCCCGAGAGAGATTAAAGTTTATTCTTCACGCCCCTGCCCAAGTCTGAGTGTCCTCTGGCCCCGAAAAGTGAGGGTGGGCTAGGGTTTGATGTCTGAAGCTCAGTTAGCAATTATCAATCATGTGCTGGGTACCCAGGCACCCTCACAGCAGTCCCATGAGTCCCCATTTCACAGATGGGGAGAATGAAGTCTCCAAGCAAAAAAAAAAATGACTTGCCAGAAGTCACAGCCAGCAAATGGCAGCACTAGGATTCAACCCCAGGCAGTCTGATGCCCGTACCTGACCCAGCTTCCTGGCTTCAAGTCAAGCTCTGCCCCTGACCTGAGTGTGACCTTGGGCAAGACCCAGCCCTCTCAGTCTCTCCATCTGTACAATGGGGACAGAATTATGGCTGTTGTATCAGATGATGTGGGAGATGAGAAATCCCATACCTGACCATCACAAGAGTGTTTCAGCATCACTGATCATTACGGAAATGCAAATCAAAACTACAATAAGATACCACTTCACACCCATTAGGATGGCTATCGGCAAAAAAAAAAACAAAAAAAACCAGAAACAGTAAGTGTGGATGAGGATGCAGAGAAACTGGAACCGTTGTGCACTATTAGTGGGAAGGGGTGTACAGCCACTGTGGAAAACAGTAAGGCGGTTCACAAAAAAATTAAAAATAGAATCACCATATGACCCAGCAATCCTGCTTCTGGATATTTACCCAAAAGAACTGAAAGCAGGGTCTCAAAGAGATACTTGTACACCCATGTTCATAGTAGCATTATTCACAACAGCTGGAAGCAACCCCAGTGTTCATCAACAGATGAATGGATAAACAAAATGTGGCCTATACATATAATGGAATATTATTCAGTCTTAAAAAGGAAGGAAATTCCACAATATGCCATGACTTGGATGAACCTTGAGGACATTATGCTAAATAAAATAAGCCAGTCACAAAAAGACAAATACAGTATGATTCCACTTCTATAAGATACTTAGTCAACTTCATAGAGACAGAAAGTAGACAGGTTGCCAGTGGCTGGGGGAGGGGAGAATGGGGAGTTAGTGTTTAATGGGTACAGAATTTCAGTTTTACAAAATGGAAGGAACTATGAAGATGGATGGTGGTGAGGGTTACACAGTATTATGAACGTATTTAATACCACTGAACTGTGCACTTTAAAAAGGTTAAGATGATAAGCTTTATGTTACATGTATTTTACCACAATTTTAAAACTTGAAAAAAAATTATAAAATATCTGAAATCCTGTAAAGGAAAAACTCTGGGAAACTTTAGAAACATTGTAAGAAAATTCTATAAATTCTGATAGCGTGTTCCATGTCATCACTGTATACGATTAGAAATGCAGATGTAAATATTTTTTTGTTCCTGTTCCCTCAATCAGTCACTCATTCTTTATGTGCATAAACTTTGTCATAGCTGAGTCTCACCTGTTCTAGTATTTACATAAGAGCTTACGGAAGTGCTAAAGCCAGTATCTACTGTGAGTATCTACCACTGTTCCACCCATGGAGCTCTCAGCACAGAGCATGGCACACAGTAGGTGCTGTGTAAATGATGGGTAAATGATTACCAAGGTAAATGATCACTGTTAACCTCTGGCCCCAGGCGGGTGATAGGAGGTCCAGTACTCGGGGACGGGGTGACGCTGTGCTAGAAGGGGGCAGGCTGCTCAAGCCGCAAAGGGCACAGGGATGGAACCTGCAAGGGAGGGACTCCATACAGGCAGGGGGAGGCAGGTGGAGAGACTGGCAAGGGTTCAGCTGGACATTAGGAGGGTGGATAAATCAGAAATACACTATCTCCTGGGAGAGCACACCGGACAGGCCCTTGTCCTGCAGCAGAACCCACCCCTCTGGCCATCAGGCAGGCTCCTCACCAGCCCCTGGGAACCCTCCAGCACCCAGTCCCAGGGCCTGCCTCTAATGGTCTCCATGGTCAGTGTGGCTTCAAGGGGTCACCTCATCCTCCTGCCACTCCCTGCCCCCTCCCAGCCACCAGCGGACCTGGGAGCCATTCATATCCAACTTGGCATTATTTCCATAGTTTTTATGAGAACCGGCCTCGTTATTAACAAGAATGTTTTGTTTATTTGTTTTTTTGCGGTACGCGGGCCTCTCACCGTTGTGGCCTCTCCCGTTGTGGAGCACAGGCTCCGGACGCGCAGGCTCAGCGGCCATGGCTCACGGGCCCAGCTGCCCCGCGGCATGTGGGATCTTCCCGGACCGGGGCACGAACCCGTGTCCCCTGCATCAGCAGGTGGACTCTCAACCACTGCGCCACCAGGGAAGCCCTCCAAGTATTTTTGAGGTAGTTTTTAATCTGAAGGAAAACTCCAAAGTGTAAAATAGATAAAAAGCTGAAGTGCTCTGGAGAAGCCGCTGTAATAGCCTCCAAGCATCTCTCCACAACATGTTTGGAAAACTACTGGACAGGGTGACCCTGAAGGCCCCTTCCAGCTTTAATCTGCAAAGATATGGTCATTCAGAGACTGTATGGCTTCCTAAGTCCTACCAAGAGCCCAGTGAGACCAGAGCAGTAAGCTGTAGCAGTGATGGGTCAGAAGTGAGCCACCTTCAAGGAGACAGTAATCTCGGAAGAACACAACTAGCACCACCAGGCTCTGGAGTCAGACTGCCTGGATTTGGATCGATTACTTCTTGGCTGTGTGACCTTAGGCGAGATGCTTAACCTCTCTGTGCCTCAGTTTCCTCATCTGTCAAATGAGGATAATTATAAAAACTACCACCTACGTCCCTAGCTCCCAACCTCCTCCAGAACAAGCCACCACCATTCCCTCCACTTCCCAGGGTGTCCCCTACCCACCCCCAAGCCCTATGTGGTTCTGGCCTACAGCTGAGAGAGAAGGAATAGGACAGCTTGTTTCTGTTGACCTTACCCTCTTGGGCAGTGAGGGCAAGGGGCTCTGAGAGGCGTTGAAATGGAGGATGGGCCCGAACATGCTGATGTTCCAGAAGAGGATGTTCCCATTGTAGGAGGAGGTCCCAAGGAACTGGTTCTGGTACCTGGCCATGCTCAGGACATCCTCCGTGTGGAAGGTCTGCCAGCGTTAGCACAAGAGCACCGGCTTGGTCTTGTGGAACCTGCACACATGGCCAGAGGCAGAAGGGCTGAGAGCTCAGCCTTACTGGTCTCCTGGGAGACCATCATGGCCTCTAGGATTTGGAGCGCTGACCCAGAGGAGGACACTCCAGAGGAGGTGTAGATCAGGGATGAAGCTCTGCCCTGCTGACTGCATTTACTAAGCACCTATTATGTGCCTGCTATAAAGGTCCGGTCCTAGGGGCTTTATATACACTAATCTTACAGATTTGCCCCATTCAGACACCTCAGTAAGGATTCAGGTTGAAAGAAGGGGAAACCATGGCCCTAGAAAAGCCCTCTGAAGAGGAAGGGACCCTGCACATGCTCTTCCCTCTGCCTGGAACGTCCCTCCTGTCCCTAGCCCCTCACTGCTTCACTGAGACCCCTCCTGCTCACTCTTCAGACCCCACTCCACCCTTGACATCCTCAGCTGACCCTTTTCTGACGGTCCCTGAGACTAGATCAGATTTCTGTCCCCTCCCCATAGAAACCTGTACTTTTTTTTTTTTTTCCATAGCACTCAACAGACGATCACAAATGAAGTTATTTGATTAGTGTCTGCCTCCCCCTGGGAGCTCCAGGAGGATGAAGACTCCGTATGCTTGTTTATACCCGTCCCCAGCACCTAGTACAAAGCCTAGAACATATCGGCTGCCTGGAGTGATGAATAAATGGACAGATGAGAGGGTGAAGCAACAGACATCACCCAGCACTAATTTCCTGCTTGGTGTTCCAACCACCAGCAAAGCTAGGAATGGGGGAACCCATCTGAAGTCAGGAGAGACAGTTAGCTGCCCTCACCTCCCACGTGCACCCTGGCTACTCACGTGAAATAAGGGATTCTCTTACTCCATCCGGTCATGTAGAACACTTTGTTCATATGGACGATCCCACTAATCTGTTGAGGTTGAAAGCAGACAGAACTCTAAGGTACCTCAGAGGAAATGGCTCCAGGCCCCAAATGTCTTCCTAATTATACCAAGCAAGAAATCAAAACTCCCCATAATGATGAGAATTCCCTAGAGGTGATACCACCATATTTTTTTCAGAGTGCTCTCACATCCCATTATCCATTTGATGGACTTGGAGGGGGCAGATTGGGTAGGTATCCATGTCCCTCTTACAGGGGGATAGCAGGGAAACAGACAAGTGACTTGGCTAAGGTCAAACGACTGAGTGATAGGATCTGGACCAGTCCTCTAAATCCCCGGCTTCTCGGCCAAGTGCTCCTTCTGAGTTGGTTAAAGGACTGTGTCACAGGGGTTACTAATGGGCTCAAGTCCCAAAGTGGGACTGCTGGCTTTGCACTTTGCCACACCCACAGACCATCCCTATAACCCTGGCAGTCATTTCCCAAACAGGGGTACGGGTGGCTCTGAATCATGTGACCCCACTGCTAGCAATGCCATCCAAAGCTCTAAGAGGTAGGGTAAGAAGTGCTAACACACCAAAAGAGCAAGAGTAGCTAACATTTGTAGAACACCTATGAAGGACAGGCCCTGTTACCTGTCTTCATTTTTTGCACAAGGACACAAAGGGTCAGGCAGGCACGAGGCCAGGCAGTCTGTGTGCACAACCTTTCAGAGAGGCATGGACAATAGCATGTCCCAGGGTCACAGGAGCTGTGAGGGGCCCCCAGGCCCCAGCTGATGGACCAGACTGACCTCCATCTGGTCCGGGTTGGGGAAGGTCAGCAGGCATTCACCAACACTGTAGTTCCACATCTTCATGGTGCCATCACGCAGACCCGTGAGCAGGCACGCCTCTGACTCATCCAGGGACGTGGCGGTCAGCTCCACGTGCTGGTCGCCAGTCACAGAGAACTCCGTCATCCTTTTGCCTGTCACGACCTCCCACATGCTCACCACGCCGCTCAGGCAGCCGCTCACCACCTGTGCGGGAGCACACAGCCAGGGCTCCTGGAGAGGAGAGGGCCCCCGCTCCCAAGGGCAGCCTCCAGCTGGCGTGACTGCGGGTAGCTCCGCTGCCACTCTGTGTACCGAGAAGACAGGCACTCTGGGCCCTCCTGCTGCAGGATAAGCCACTCTTGAAAACAGGCTTTCCTCGGCCCTGAGGCCCACGGCGGTGCAAACAGGCACAGTTTTTTCAGAAGGAACCAGTCTGGTGAAATCCCCTTTAACTCAGAAATGGCATTTATCAGAATCTATCCAGAGAAAATAATCTCTAATTCAGAAAAAAAATTTACTGCAAAGTCATTAATCACGGGGGATAAAAAAAAACAACAGGAAATACACTAACTGTCCCCTGAGTAGGGAAATGTTGAGTAAAGGTACATCATTCCACCAAAGGCAAAAACTATTACAATGAAACAGTAACAGGTGAGCCTACTTCAGACCAACCTTCCTGATGAGAACATCTAGAAAAGCTGGGGAAGGGGGATTTTTTCGAAACTGCTGGAAGGCACTGAAGAGCCCTAAGGTATGAGGGGGGGTGGTGCCAGGGGTCCGAATGAGAGGGAAACCCAAAGAGGTGAGCTCTGGCCTCGCGCAGCCAAGGCCATGCTGCAGCAGACTCAGTGGGGCCAGGAAAGGGGTCCCAGTGGCAGTGGTCAGAGGGCCCAGGAGCCCTTTCTGTCCCCACACTTCAGAATCCACGTTCCCAGTTGCCCTGCCCAATGCAGAGATCTCTACTCAGGACCAGGGGGCTGTCCACAGCCTGGGCCTCCCTCCCCTCCCACGATGGACAATGCTGAACCAGGGCTTCCCTGGAAATGACCCCCAGGAGCAGCACCCACACCCACCCAGGGAGCCTCGAAGAGCAGCTCACACCTTGTGTTCCATCTCACACTGTATAAAGAAGGCTGCCTGTCCAGAACTGATCTGGGGCGGTAGCCAGGGGCGCACAGGCTCACAGGAGTTTGGTGACCCGCTGACCATGTGGTGGAGCTCCTATCTTACCCGGGGTGACCCCTCTGCAGGGTTGCTGCTCGCCCACCTCCCACTGTCCTGCACCACCACCCAAGCTATGAGCGTCCTGTCCCACCCCACCCCCTGCTGGCCTCAGAGACGAGCTGCTGACCACTTACCTGCTTGAAAACCTTGCTGTAGAGGATGGCGCACAGGGGCGTGCTGTAAGTCGTGGTCTTCTCCTCTGCTCTCCCAGGCCCCTGCGTCTCCAGGCACCCTTTTAGGATGCCAATCTACAGGTGAGGAGGGGCAGAGAGTTGGGCAGTCAGAAGGGGCCTGCCCTCAGTGATCTGCCCCAGGGAGAAACTTCCAGTAAACGGAGACATCAAGATATCCTCAACTACACACAGGCCAGATGATAGCTCACCCCTACTCCACGGCCCCCACTTCCTGAGATCAGGGCTCCCAAAGCCTCGTGTTCCCACAAGATCAAAATCCAAGTCCAAGGTCCCTTTTATAACTTCTGAAAAGCATAAAGCCTCAATCTGGTGTCCCCTCGTCCAGGAAGCCTTCCCTGACTACCTCTGCCTCAGGCTAGGCTAAGGATCCTTTCTCTGTGCTCGATGACGCACCTAGCACACATCTCCAACATAACGCACAGCATTTTCTACTAAAATTATGTGTTCTCCTACTACCCCGTAAGTTCCTTGAGGGATGGGACAGTGCCTAATTAATATATTCTCTGCTCCTGACAAAGAGCAGAGGGCTGATAATGTGTGATGATTTGAAATGAACTTCAAAGGTCTATTTAATTCAACAAACGCTGGCAGCCAGTCTGACACTCAGCAGAGACGAAGGAACCCACCAACTCCCTTCTCAAGAAAAACCTGCCACCTGGGAGAGCCAGCCAAGGGCACAAGGACAGCGTGTGTGTCACCTGGCCAACAGAGGGAAGGAGGTCTCAGTGGGGCTTCCCCTTCCTCCCAACCACAAATGACACCCTCACCTCCCTTTCTAGATAGAACCTCCCCCTCTACTGGCTGCTCACTGTCCTTGCAGTCCCCTCAGCTCCCATCTTGTCACAGGTCCCCCTGTCACCCTGGATGGTCAGCCCCTTGTGCTTCTCCCAGGCTGTCCTGTCCTCCAGGGTCAGGACAGACCTCACATGGGCACCAGCTAAGTCATGGCTCATAGACGGTGTTCATGCCAGGTCCCTCCAAGCTCTCTCCTTCAGAGGGGCTGCTCGGGGGTGGGCCCTGCCCTCCTGGGCTTCACGATTTGGCAGGAGGGACAGGCATGTAACCACGACAGGACAGAGTTATAAGGGCCGTGATCAAGGGGAGGCAAGGGAGCTTGGAGCGGTGGGGGCGGGCGGGGGTCTTCTAAGCCAGCCTGGGCCTCAAGGTAGGCTTTGAGGAGAGTCTGGAGGATGCACGGGTCAGGAGGACAGCAGCGTAGAGGGTGACCACTGAGGGCCTAGAAACAGTCCCCCAGGAAATCCCAGGAGACGAGAGCTTTGAGGACCAGGCCACAGAGTCTAGCAGCTTTGTCCTCATGGCACGAAGCAGTCTCAGGACGGACGGGATGTGACCACCCCTCGGTGTCCCATGGGACTGCAGAACGCGGCTGCAGCCCCTCCCCTCTGGGTGCAGACACGGTCCCACCTCCCTCTCGTGCAGCGCTGAGTAGGTGCTACAGATGAGGCTGTCGTCATCCTTGTGGAAGTATGCGCTGGTGATGGGGCAGTGTCCCAGGGCAAAATGCTTCCCGCAGAAGGACTGGAGGCATTCGTAGTCCTGCATGTCCCACATGCGAATATTCTGCAGGGGTGAGAAATAGGCAAAGAGGCCAAGAGTGGGTTCTCGGGGATGCAGCTGGTACCTGAGGCCTTGGGGTTCTCCTGGGAGCGGGGCCAGGGCACCCAGTGCAAGCACTTCCAAGACACACCCACCACGCTAAGTGACTGCCATGGATCACAGCCCTGTGACAGACGCTGTGCTTATGCTCAAATGAGGAAACCAAGGCACGCCCCCCGCCCAGCCTCCCCCAGTGCTCATCGGCTGAGGATGAAGACCTCACAAGGCAGCATTGCCCCTGCAGAGCCTCACTGGCTCCCACCCCAGCCTCCCTCGAGTAAAGCCAGGCAGGGCACAGAAAGAGCTGCCAACATCGTTGCCCAAAAGGCTCACCTGTCCCCCTCGAGTTCCTCCCAGGTTGAGGAAGTGTCCCCAGAGGGGCCCCGTGGAAGTCCCTCCAGGACACTCCTCACTCGGGGCATCGGCAGCAAGCTGGACACGGCATGGGCTTGGAGTCCACAGACTGCCGTCCACACTGTGGCTCTGCCCATTGCTGCCCGTGAAGGTTTGGGCAAGTCTACTCCTGTCCCCGACCCCTCCAGCCTCGGAGCCTTCATCAGAGGTGACGATGCCCAGTTCCCAGCACTGCCAGGAGAATTCCAGACAGTACCAAGTGTGGGGATGTGTGGGCAGCATGGCCTGGTGAACCAGGGCCCTGCCAGCTCCTGATCTACTGAGTCCCAGAAGACACAAACTTGTCCCCTGAAGGAGGGCACCTGGAACCATTGGCCTGCATCCCCCAGCAGGTGGGGAGAGACCCTAAACCCATAGCTCAGAGGAGCAGAGTAGCAGGCCTGATCAGGGGAACCCCGGGCATTTGAAAAAGGTCTGGTCAGGCCCTGCAGCCAGGGCAGCCAAGCAGTGGTCACTGGGAGAGCTGAGAGGAGCAAGTTCGGGTCTGTGGAGAGGGAAAGGCTCACATCTGTTGTACACCTACTATGCGCCAGACATTCCTCTGCTCTTTTACCAGCAGCTCTTCTCTAAACCACTCAACACCCATTCTCTGGAGAATGAGGAGACTGAGACCCCATAAAGGGAAGGGCCCTACCCAACTCTGGTGGGCTGCTCAGAGCTGGGCTCGGTACCCCATGGGGGTGGTCAGAGACCCACGGCCCCTTCATGGTGCCACCTGAGGTACCTGCCTCTAGGCCTCAGGCCAGGGTGGGACCATGGACAGGGAGCTCACACCATTGCCCTGGGCCTCAGGCTCCTGCCAACTGCCAGCCAGCGCCCTGGCTGGCTGAGCTCGATCGTTGTCCCCGGGCCAGCATCTCCGCTGGGGAACAGGAGCCAGCGGCGGGCGCCAGGGCCGAGCTCCCCGCGGACACCTTGTCCTTGGAGATGCTCAGGATGCTGCCGTGCTTGCTGCTCACGAGAACGTGTGTCACCGAGGTCTGATGCCCCTTCATCAGCCACACAGGCTTTTTCGAGAAGAAGGGGTTCCACAGGTGGATGAGGGGGTCATGGCCACCAGTCACTGAAGTTGAAAACCGGGTATCAGCCACTGGGGGCCTGCGCTGGGACCTTGTCCTGGGGCCAGGCCTCGGACTCCAGCCAGGCTCAGCAGATGGGGGGCGTTGCTATGATCCATCCCTCTGCCCCTCTCGTCCCGCCCCCTCTGCCACCATGCCAAGCAAGCCCCTGTCACCACTCCACCCCAGGTGCCCAGGGGCGGGGACCAGAGTGGCTGGTGGCAGACGCTGCAGGGCCTCCGCCTCCGCTCTGATGGGCCCCACCTCCCCAGCAGCCCTCACCCTAGTTCTGCCAGACCAGCAGCCTCACATGATACAAACGTTACTTACCCAGGACATTCTTTGCTGGGCAGTAATCAAAGCAAAGAATCCCTTTTCTTAAATTCAGCACTGAAAACCTACAGCAGCACAGGGGGAAGGCTGTGACCGGAGGCCTCGGAGAGCCTCTGAGGCTGGGATGTGGAGGAGCTAGAGGCAGGGCCGCCGGGAGGCCAGGGAGAAGTCACCACGTCTCCACCCAAGGAGAGAGCAGCCCCCAGAACCCTGCCCTGGGCTCACCCTGCCCCCAAGGCAGGGCCAGCACCGCCAGCAGAGCGGCAGCCCCCGCTCAGCCCGAAACCAGCAGTACCTGGAGGAGACGCCCACCTCTCGCCTGCACATGAAGGCGAAAGCAGCCCCAAGCAGGAGCAACTCCTACAGCTGCACCATGCTCGCCTCGCTCCAAGGGCAAACTTAACTCGATCTGCACCTTCACTATACCGGGACGGGTGTCCTCCCACCCATGACACAGACCAAAAGGTGCAAGGGGCTCCCCCAAAGGCTAGGGGTAGAGAACAAAGTGTCCCTGCTACGTGCTGGTCCCTGTGCTGGGTGCTGTCTTGTGAGTCACCTGGACCCCTCACACAACCCTGAAGACTGTCATGAGCCCTGTGCCGTGATGAGGACACAGAAGGAAATTAAGGAGCTTGCCCAAGGTCCCATGGCTGGCAAGGTGGGGGGGGTCAGTGTTCAGACCCAGGGTGGGCGTGGCAGGGAGAGGCAGTAGGCTCAGGAACCAGAGCTCCAGGACAGGAAACGGTGTGGCAGGGCTGGAGGCCCGGGGGATGGGAGTTGGGGAGCCAGGAGGCTGTTGGGGTGCTCAGGAGGGCCAGGGGATCCAGCCAGGGCTTCTGGGAAGATCAGGGGAAAGGTCAGGCCCAACAGCCCTCACAGGCCCCAGAGCCCTGGGAGCTCTGTGCCTTGCGTGTGCTATTCCCTCACATCCACACATCCTGCCCCGCCAGCTCTTTCCACTCAAACTCTCCCTTCAAAACTCAACTCCAAGGCCTCTAACGCAGCATGCTCTCCACTGAACTTGCCCCTGAACTGCACCTCTGCTACTCCCCAGGGAACTAAGCTTGGTTATCACCCTAGAGGCTCCCTCTCCTGCGCTCTCATTATTCATCTGGGCCCCAAATCCTCTTTGCTCACGTCCCACTACAGCCCAGGGCCCCCTCGTTTCTGCATCAGCCTCCCAGGAGGGCCTCTTAACCTCCCGCCTTGCTCCCACTCCCCTGTGCTCCCCACTCCACAGCCAGAAGGATTCCTCTAAAAGTCAAAACTTCACCAAAAAACCCTAGTCAGGGAACTAAGATCCTGCATGACGCACGGTGCGGCCAAAAGAAAAAAGAACCTTAAAAAACTTCAAGAAGAGCATATCAAATACCTGTATTGTCAAACCAGATAAGTCTCCCTCCATGCTTATGTGTGCAGAGAAATGTTCTGGAAGAACAGTCACAAAACATTACTAGAAATCATTTCAGGCTGATTCACCCATTTATTCAACAAAGATTTCCTGGCTCCTATGCCCTTCCAGGATGACCAGAGGCGCAGACAGGATGCCCCTGCCTTCACTGGAGCTTTTCTTCTAGAGGAAAACAGCCTGCGCAAGTAAAGGAACAGAGGGACAGGGAGACGGACATGTACACATCATGGCAAGTCCTGCAGGGAAATAAGCAGGTGGCTTTGACAGGACGGCTGGCTGGAGGAGACCAGGTGGCACAGATGGCTGCTGTGCAGAGAAGGGACTGGAGGGTCAGAGGGGACGCAGGGAAGAAGTCTACAAGGCCACTCCAGAGGCAGAATTTGGGTTGGCGGTGCCAGGCCCCACCTGCAGAGGCTACGCCCCAAGAGGACATCACCAGAACAAGAGACCGGCCAGCAGTCAATGGTGCCACCTGCTGGCCAGTGTGTGTACTTCATACAGACAAGAAGGAAGGGGGTGTGTGCTCATGTGTATAACTATATTCTGCAACCCACCCCTAAAATAGACCTCAAATCCCTCCGTCTCCACGCCAGGCAGACTCCAGACCACCATCACGTGTAGTCTGGATTATCACAATGGCATCCTCACTGGCGTCCCCATCTCCCCTCCTGCCCACATACGTACATTCCACTTGCAGTAGAGCAGCCAGAAGGATGCTCCCACACACCAGAGCACACCATTCCTCAGCTCAGAACCATCCTAGAACCTTGTCTATATCTGATTTCAAATAATCATAAAAAGATATTTTTGAGACACTTGGGTAAAGATTAACTTGGACTAGTACTAGTGATATTAAAGCATTATACTATTTCTCTACTTTTGTGCGTTTAAAAATCTTTCATAATAAAAATGTTTAAAAAACAAAAACAAACAAAAAAACAGGCAGAGAGGAGCAATGCAAAGGCTTGGGGGCAGGAACATGTGTGAGCCACAAGGGGGCCCCGTGTGGCTGGAGTGGGAAGGTGGCAGGCAGACCAAGGAGCCTGTCATAGCCTCCTGCCCTTGAGACCCAATAAAACAAGAAGCTGAATGAAAGACATATCACAGACATGAGGTAATACTCCCACCAAAGCAGAGAGATGGACCTCGGCAAACCAGCTCCAAGCAAAATCCCACCACACCGCCCCACTCAAAGCACAAAAACCAAGACAGAAGATTCCCCACCGCCACAGGCATACACTCCCCTCCTCCAACCTGCAGTTAGTTCCAGGACTTGGGGATTGGATAAGGGAATGGGGAGAAAAGCCCACAGGATTCCGGCTTTATTTATAGTGCTTGAATTTTTTACATATGTACGTATACCTGTGTGACTAACAGTTGAGTTTTTTTTTTTTTTTTTTGGCCGCACCGCTCATCATGCGTGGTCTTAGTTCCCTGACCAGGGATTGAACCCTCGAGCCCAGCAGTGAAAGTGCAGAGTCCTAACCACTGGACCACCAGGGGATTTCCAACAGCTGATTTTAAAAAATAAAAAAGACAGAAGATGAAAAGATGCCTCCTGGGGTAGAGGAATCTAGAATGAAGGAAATAGATTAGAACCATCTCCAAAGAATTAATGTGGCCAACTAGTGAACACATGCTATGTACAACACTCACTCATGTAAGCCCTGAGGTAAGTGAAGGGCTATTATCACCCCCTTTTACAGACAAGAAAACTGAGGCTCACAGAGGTGAAGCAACTCACATTCATTCCTTCATTCAGAAAACATTTTTCTGACTGTATCCTTACACTATGTGCTAGCTTCTGTGCTGAGTTTTGTGTATAAATTGGTGGATAACAGAGGCCTCATATTTTTGCTGCTGGTGGCAATGCCAGAATGATTAAAACCAGATTCCATAAAAGTTCTTATCACAGGGAAAAAAAATGCACAACTGTGTGTGGTGATAGATGTTAACTAGACTTGTGATCATTTCACAATATATACAAACATCAAATCGTTATGTTATACGTCTTAATATAAACTTAATATAATGTTATATGTCAATTTTCAAAACTGACAACCTCAATTAAAAAAAAAAAACAGACTCCAGAGCCCATATTCTAACCACCACACCTCACTGTTGGCCCATAGGACACACAGTGCTTCCTTGGACCCAGCATGATCCACAGGACACTGTATTACTGCCCACAGGAGATGCCACTGTCCCGGAGGCAGGTCCCCTCTCAGGAGGGATGGCCACCTGTGGCTGAAGTGAAGCCAGAGTCCCGGAGTCACTGTCACCACCCACCCCCTCCCAGCCCCACCACCTCTGCCTGGAGACAGGTGCTCCTTACTTGAGGCTCTCTGGGACTTTGGGCGGCAATATGGTCAGCACCAGAGAGGACTTGTCGATGGCTGAACAGGAAGCCACCAGGTTCAGCTGGGGGATAAACTTGACCTGTTGACACCAGTTGGGGTGGAGAGCCTGGGAAGAGAGCAGTGGTGGTGGGAGACCCAACCCAAGGACGGTCATCCAGGCCCAGCCACCAGATGGGCTGGAGGGGCCAAGAGATCCCCAAGTCTATGCCCCTCTAGTTATCACAGCTCTGACAAAGTGCTCCAGCCCCACAGTCCTAGCCCAGGTCATGTGATCAGGGGTGTGTGGCCACCATTTATCAGTGGAACAGGTTAAAAGCACTGAAATCTGCTGTCAGGTGAACTCTCGCTTATAAGTTAGAGGACAGGCAAGGTCTGGCCCATCCTAATACCACTGTCTGTGGCCCCATGCCAAGGTGGGAGGGAGGATGGATCCAAGTCCGCCTAGTCCACAGTCGCTATCATCCACAGGGCACCCACCATGGGTGAGCCTGTGCTTCCCGGCCCCACCGCTGTCCGTGTTTGTTGGGAAGTGGTTTGCAGTAAGCGAGGATGTTATCTGGTACAAGTTGGGTGAGATTGGGACTTCCCCGAGACTGGGACTTCCCTGGTGGTCCAGTGGTTAAGACTCCGCGCTCCCACTGCCAGGGCCCGGGTTCGATCCCTGGTCAGGGAACTAAGATCCCGCAAGCCGCGTGGTGTAGCGAAAAAAAAAAAAAGGCTGGGACCCACAGGTCAAGGGCATGGCCTGGCTGGACAGGCTCCGTGTTCTGGCCCAGTGCTTGGCCCCCCCATTCTGGAGATTTTCCTCTCCGAGACAAGAATGGAGGCGAGGTGAGCTGGGTTTTGCATGAGCTGTTTCACCAAGTGTCTGTCGTGGTGAAGGCTGGAGGATGATTTGATCACCAATGGCCAATGACATAATCAATCACGCCTGTGTAATGAAGCCTCCATAACAACCCAAAAGGGTGGGGTTCTGAGAGCTTCTGGGCTGGACAACATGTGGAGGTGCAGGGAGAGTGGAGACCCGGACAGGGCATGGAAGCTCCGTGCCTCTTCCACATACCTTGCCATCCTCATCTCTTCCATCTGGCTGTTCCTAAGTTATATTCTTTTCTAATAAACCAGTGATCTAGTAAAGTAAAACATTTCTCTGAGTTCTGAACTGTTCCAGCAAATTAATCGAACCCAAGGAGGGGGTCGTGGAAACCTCTGATTAATGCCAGCGGGTCAGAAGCACAGGTAACAACCTGAACTTGGGATTGGCATCTGAAGGGGAGGGCAGTCTTGTGGGACCCTTAAACTGCGGGATCTGACGCTATCTTGGGGTAGATAGTGTCAGAATTGAGTTGAATTGTAGGACACCCAGCTCGTGTCAGAGAATCGCGTGGAGATGTGGGAAAAAAACACACGCTGTAATGGGTGTCAGAATCCTATAAGCACTGCAGGTGAAGGGGTGAAGGCAGAGGCTGATGGAGCAGGGCTGTTCCAGGCTGGCTGGTTGGGGACCCAAGGGAAGTAGAGGGGGGCATACAGTATGTGGGGGGAGAGCACAGCAGCCTGAAGGAACGGCGTGTGTCAAGGCCCTGAGGTGGGAAAGGGCTTCGTGTTCAGAGAACAGCCAGGTTGCTGGCGTCTCTGTGTCAGAGAAAGGAGAAAGGTAGAAAGCAAGACTGGGAACAAGCCAGGGGCCAGGTCCGCTCGTGTCCTGATGGTCGTGGGGAGCACTTGAGATTTTGTGCAAGACAAGAGAGCTACTGGGGGATTTTGAGCAGAGGAGTGACATGACTGTATTTCTAGCTCAGGATTCCTGAGGCTGCTGAATGGAGAAAGCACTGCATAGAGAAAGGATGTGGGGAAACGGCGAGAAGCCGCTGCAGCCACCCAGGAAGACTGGTGCCTGAGCAATGAAGGCGGTGAGAAAGACCAGTCACACCTGGGATGGTTTGGCTTCTGCACCAGCAGCTGCCTCCACCCCATCCCCAGAGACCAAGCCCCAAGGCCAGAGACGGAAGCGCAGATCCACCTGCTGCATTTTTGTTTCTTTACCTGTGTACAGCTAATTACCATGGTTACAGCCAAGGAAAGAGCCCACTTACCCTCAGCTGGTAACTTCTATGCGTAGGGGACTTCTCATTTAAGAGCTTCTGTGTGGAAACATTGGTCCAGTGATCTGATAGGGGAGAAAATCAAGGCCCATGTCACCAGCTCTCCTTGTTTGTAGAATAAGCAAGACCTCAGAAGACCCCTTGAGTTGGTTTGCAACTCCCATGCACCCCAAAAGGCTTTCCCATCCAAACGTTCACTCAAGCCTCCCTGTGTCCTGGTAAGTTCAGTGGGGTGAACTCGGCACCCAGAAAACAGACTAGGGCCAATAAACACTGCTGCCCAGAGTCCCCCTGCCAGCTCCTAGCAGAGCTGGAACCAGATTTCGGGGCTCCTCACTCTCCCCAGCTGGTTGAGTCTCCATTAGGGAGCTCTGACTCTGCTGGAGTGGAGAATGAACTGAGATCCTGGGCTCTTATTCATTCTGAAAATAATCATTTGGGAGTTTGCCATCATGCTTCAAACTACTGAATACATGCCCCCCCTTGTCTGGCAAATACAAGTGCCAAGAAGGAGAAGTTGCACGCATGCGTCGTAAAGCAAGCGTGTCTGGCTGGAGCAAGAGCGGTAAGCACAGCCTTGCCCTCCCACTTTTCTCTCCTTCCACCTTCTAACAAATCCATGAACTGACTGTGCTTACCCCATCTGAATAAGGGAACTGAGGCACAGAGAGGTTAAGCAACTGGATCTAGGTCATACAGAGCTGGTCTGTCCAGCCCCTCCCAAGTCAGCATGCTGCTGGGCCCCCCTTCCTGTTTGTCCCCAGCCTTCAGTCAGCATGTGGCACGGAAGGACTCCCATCCAACACTCTAGCCTCATCTGCATCCCCTCCAATTTCCTGTCCACCACTCGGCTCAAAGACCACCACCTCCCGTGCCAATTCCCAGGGTGGCACAGAGCAACCACGGTGGGTTGGGTCAGGGCAGGTCGGGCACCAGGGGCAGAGGCAGACGAGACAGGACACAGCAGGGTGCCAGCCCCCCGCTGCGTCCAGGGCAGGATCCACCTTCTGTCCGGCCAGTGGCGGGTGCTGCCCCAACAAGCTGGGCAGGAGGTGTCACTGAGGCCTGGGGGCCCCTGGAGCCCCTGCTCAGAAACTCTGGCTAGAAGCCCAAGTGGCCATTCTGGAGTCCTGGATGGAGAGGAGTCAGTGTCCCTGGGGGCTGGGACCCCCCCACCCCGGTGGATGCGGAGCGGCCTGGAGGTCTGACACTGCGGGTCGAAGGCCCGATCCCGGGCAGGGTCCAGTTCAGATATGTCCCCGACAGCCCAAGGCCCCAAGGCCTCGGGATCTCGTGCCCCTAGGCAGAGCAGCCCCAGACAGCATCCTCCAGCATTCAGTCGGTTTGGGATACAGCCTAGCAAGTGGTTCAAGTGCAGGCTCTGGCGCAGACTGCCTGCCTCAGATCTCAGCCATGCTTAGCCACTGTGGGGCCAGTGTAAGCGCTTCTCCCCCTAAACCCCCTGCTCCTCCTCCCTTAACAGGCTGTGACGACAGCAGCCCCTCCTGGCAGCAGGCGGAAACTGCAGGAGGTGACTGCCCAAAGCGCTCAGCACCCAAGGGCTCCGCAAGTGTCCCTGTGCTGATTCACGCTGCTCGTGCGGAGTCGGGCCTTCCTCCAGGCGCTGCGAGGAAGCACAGCCTCCTGGGCAGCCTCTCCGCCCCACCCCAACACCCACCCACAGGCAGCTCCCAGCCAAGGAGAGCAGAACCCTCCTCACGCCATGGAGGAAGCTAGCGCCACCTCCCCAGGGCCCAGAGCGGGTCACATAGCTGCCACAGGTTCTTTCTTCCTGGTATGAGGAGGGTCCTGAAGCGCCCCCACCTCCGCCCCGGCCCTCACGTGCACAACTTCCCACCTCCAGAGAGACTGCCCATCTCCCCAGCCCCGTCCCGTGTCCCGCTGTCACGCCATCACCCCATCTCCCACAGGCAGCTCTGAGCTGAGCATGTGGGTGCAACGCCTTCCCAGGGACTCGAACCGGGAAGCAGGGAGGGGAAGGAGTTCCCAGGGCAGGACCAAATCCCCCCACTCCCCACATCTCCGCTACCCCATCTGGAGGTCCTGGGGAGGATTCAGGGGTTGAACAGCCCATGGGTCACATCGTTGGAGGTGAAGACGATGACATTGCCTTTGGTGTCCCCATAGCAGAACACAGCCCTGTGATAGTCAGACCTGGGAAAAGAACGAGACAGAAGAGGCCACGGAGCCGGCTGGGTGTGTCCAGTGCAACCCTCCGCCCCTCCCTGGCCTCCAAGGCCCTTCTCCACTTTGGGAGCGAGGGCAGATCCCACACAACTTTCCAGCCTTGACCTCAACAGCTGACAAACGTGGGCCCAGCCGCCCAGATCCAGACCGTTGGTGAACCAGGTCCAAGAGAAATCAGCACTTTTTTTTAACCAGAATAAATGAATCCCTGGTCCTTCAGCTGCTCTTTGTCAAGTCACCCTACTGATGGACCATGATGTTCCCAGAGACACAGCGGGACAGGCTGGGTTTGATGGCTGACTTGGTGAAAGGAAGAGGGGCCGACAACAACTCTGAGGTCTGAGTGACCATGAAAGGGGACCCAAGAGAGAAGCAGCTTGACGGGAAGAGGACACAGGCACAGAGGGTGGGGATCTTTCCAGTGCTGCTTCCAGAGAGGCTTTCTGGGGGTCCCAGCCCCACTGCTGCCAAGCCCCTGCCCCGGTCTCCCAGGAGACTCACCAGTAGTTCAAGGTCAGGACGCAACTGTCCAGATCGATGAAGGTGAAGGCCCGGACATATTTACGGTTACTGATATCAAAGAAATCTGGGGAAGAGACAGAAGGGGAGGCACACGTGAACCCAAACCCACGTCCCAGGTCTCAGGAGTCTCTGGTGACAGGGAGAAGCCTCACTACTCACCACCCAGCAATACTCCCAGGGGACTCTAGTTCATGCTCACAGTGGCTGGGTGACAGGGCTCTCCAAGTGCAAATGCATGGCTTCCAGTGGCCAGGCACCGGCCTGGGGAACCTCGGGGACTCACCTATCTTCTGGTCGGTCAACGCTATCGCAACCAGGTTCATGTTGTGCAGACACACCATGTCGATGACCCACATCTGCTGGTTGTGGAGCGGATGGATCTGGTAAAGCTGCCAGAGGGAGAGCAGGAGAGACCTGGGCTGGGGAGGCTCCCCGGGAGAGCACGCCAGGAGCACAGCCTCCCCGCAAACCCTCTCCTGCCACCCAAGGCCCTGGAGCCAGGCACAGACCTGGTGTGGAGCCCAGCCTTACCACCAACTACCAACGGTGGGGTCTTGGATAAACTCCCTGACCTCTCTGAGTCAGTTTCCGTATCTGTGAAATGAGCTTAAAGAACACTCATCCTCACAACCCCTTAGGGAGTTTGACAAGCTCGTCAAGTGTTAAATGTGCATAGTTCGTGATCCCAGGGTCCATTCCAAGAGGCATCTACAGATGTGTTTGCAGGTACTCACAGAGAAGTGTAAGCAGGAACGGGCACTGCTGCCCAGCTACAACAGCAACCGGCCAGAGTCTGCCTGGAAATGACGCCTTACAAACCCACACCACCGATCACTGCCCAGACATTAAGAACGAGGGAGCTGTGTACATACAATGCAGAATAGTTGCCAAGACCTGTTATTAGTGAAAAAGCAAGGTGAAGAGCAGCATTATAATGTGCTACCATTTGTGTATTTAAAGAGCAGGGGGTCGGTGTATGTACAGGCTGTCCACGGAAAAGCACCCCCAAAGTGGTCACGGCAGTTGCCTCCAGAGAGGGGAATCAGGGTCTGAGAGAGGAAGACCGACTTTTCCACGACCTGCCCCCTCTGCCTGAATCTTTTTTCTCTGACTTTTATTGAGATGTAATTGACGTATAACACTGGTATTCGTTTTGTTTGTTTTGTCCAAATCTTGTTTACCACCTGCCAGTGTTGCCTGGTCAAAGTGGCTTATTAACGAGAAACCGTCCTGCCAGGTTGTGAGGAACGAATGGAACCGTGACAGCTAAAGCATCCATGTGCTGCCGGCGTTGGGAGGAACTGGGCCAGCATGGGTGCCACCCACCCCGGTGCCAGCCTCACACAACCCTTACACAGACAGAATTGGAGCCAGCACTCCAGGCAGGGGACACCACAAGCCAAGGCAAGTCAGCAGAAATGAGCTGCCACGCCCAGGGAAGAGGGGGCCAGCCCGACAGGTCTGGGTTGGAGAGGACGGGCCATGAGTGAGGTGTGGCCAGCGGCGGAACTTGTACTTTACTCCCTGAGTAGCACCACGCGGGCTCTGAACTGTCCCATCAGCACTCAGAGCACCAAGAGCAGGGCCTGAGCTAACGGCTGGGGCAGGGAAAACAATGCACCAGGGCCCCCAAGGCCCCTCTCTGGCCCAGGGCTGGGGTCTAACCCACACACAGTGGAGGTGATGGTAATGCTCATCACCCCCAAGACCCGCGTTCACACCAGAAACTGAGAGCCCTGGGGAGACTCAGAGACTTGCCCAAGGTTGCACAGCTGGTAAGTGAAGCCCAGACTCCAGGGCCTTCCAGCTGCACAACCATGGCCATGCAGTGAGTGTTCGAGGATGGTGCCTGGCGGCTCACTCTTGCCAACATCTACTTGCCAAAGCAGCCCCTCAGGGAAGGATGCCCAGGTCTGTGGGCCTTCTTGGGGAGCCTCCCTCTGTCCTCTTTGGCCCTCCCAGGCTTTGGCCCTCAGGAGCGCTGAGGTGACCATGTAGTAGCCACAAGCAGGAGCTCAGGCTATAACGTGCCCCCCTGATAAGCACACAGAGAAAAAGAGGGTGGAATGTGCCAGAAACGCCAGCCTCAGGAGTACAGGTGAGAATCCCCTTTGATCCTAGGCTACCAAGTGCACCCAAGAGAGTCACTAGAACTCCACACACCCTGGTTCTCTCCCTTGGCAACCAGGGTCAGGGGGATGATACAGAATCCTCCTGCCCCAAAGGATGACCCCTGATGCAATTAGGAAACACTCTGCAGGCACAGAGCATGCTCACTCAGCCTTCTCTGCAGAGCTGGGCCCTCCTCATCTGCTGGAGGACTCCGGCCCGGCAAAGCCAGCACACAGGGGTTTCCCCGAGCATCTTACTATTTACCACACTTGGCCAGGAGCTGACGGCACAAACGACCATGACAATGACGATGTCAGCTTATGTTTATCGGGTGCTTGCTGCGTGCCTTGCCCTGCTCCCAGCACCAGGCATGGATTATGTCATTAAATCCTCCCAACAACCCTGCCTGTAGGGGATACTATTATTAACCCCACTTGACAGATGACGAAACTGACGCACAGAGAGCAATATAGTAACTTCCAAGGTCACAGAGCTGGGGGGTGGTACAGTCAGAGCTCTACGTCTGGCAGTTGGGCTCCGGAGCCCATGTTCACAGTCACTGCGACTTCCTCCCTGGTCCAAGCAGAGGATTTGAACCAGCAGGACTTGGTGGTGGAATGGGTGCGACAGAGAAAGGAAAGGAGGTTGATCTCCAACACGAGAACCCTGGTGGATGACGATGCCATTCACTGACCTGGAGGCACAGGAGGAGGAAGCCTGGTGGGCAGGGAGGGCTACAGTGACATTCAATTTGAACAAAGTGGGTTTAGGTTATCTGTTGGACATCTAAGTGCAATGGACATCCAGGTGGAATCCTGCTTTCAGAAAAGAAATGCGAGGCTCATGGTCCCATGGGGAAGCCAGGACCTGCTCCCAGGAGCAAGTGTGGCTGTCTAGCCCACGGGTCCAGAGAAGGAGCCCACTCGGGTCCAGGGCATGAAGGCAGAGACTTTCCAACCACCCACGTGGGCCCCACTCACCCTAAAGGAGCTGGTCAGCGAGAAGGACTCCGACCAGAACTGCAGGATCCCGTCCTTGGTGACAGTCAGGAAATGCCCGATCTTCTTGAGCCGCTGGACTAAGAACTCCACTTTCACAATCTCACACCCATGATTCCTGCGGAAGGTGATAAGAGAGAGGAGCCCAAACCAAACCAGAGCAAAGAGCACAGAGGAGGAAGGACACAGCTTCCCTCACAGGCACCACGAGAAACTCGGGTGAGTTTCTGTGAGACGTGGGCTCTGCCCCTCCTCCAAAGGGGACTGTCACCGCTGACAACCGTGGCCAGAAGGAAAGGAGACCCACATGGGATGCTGGGGTGACACGGGCCTCCCAGAGCAGTAAGTTTATCCCATGAAATAGCCAGTCAGCTTCCTCATGATGGGATGGGCCAGATGTCCTTTCACAGGAAAAACAGCCCACAGGAGGCGAGTGGAGTGGGGCTTGTGAGGAAAACTGCAAAATAACAGTGTTTCCAGCAACTACTCTAGTGCTTAGAGATGGAGGGGGGAATAGGGCCCAAGAACGAGATAAAAGTAGATAAAGGGACAGTGAGAAATCAGGGCCTTGTGAACCCAACTCTTCATCTCCAAAATCATGCCCTGAGCATAGCTAATAGCTCCTGGGGCATGCCTGGCCTCGCAGGAAGCCACTGAACAGCCTTCCCAGCGAACTTCAACGCCACCTTCCAGTGGCTTCTTTCCTGTCCCCAAGCTGGCTAAGCCAACTGGCTATTAAAGGGCCAGACACAGCACAGCACACTCTCTCCCACTTGATGTGCCCACACCTCTGGGCCCCAGCAGGGCAGGTGATGTTGCCTCACCTTACAGGAAGCCAGGGGCTAACTGCCTGGAGTTATGTCCTGGTTCCCAGCAGAGCTGGGACTAGAACCCAGGCACCTCGACTCCGACTCCAGCCAGAGCCCTTTCCACACGTTGCCATGGACGTGAGCTGAGCCGTGACTTAAGGATAACCCATGTCACTGGGAAATTCTACTGTGTTACAGACTCTGCACGAGAGACAGGGACTCGTTATCTGGACACGGCTCTCCCCTCTCTCTTGCCCTCAGCCCACGGCTCTGCTCAGAGCCTGACCAATTTTCTCAGTCACCTCTCTAGCCGTCCCATCCAATTCTGCCTCCTCTGTCAGGGCCAAGGGACTGTAGGGAACAGACCCAAGAGGTGAGAGCTCTGAAGTGAAGAGTGCCCCAGGAAGCCGTCCCCTCCTGAGGTCTCGGCTTCCTCATCTCCACAGTGACAGCACCTCCACGGGATCAAGGAGACGGTGTGCTGGGTGAGCTTGGCCCAGGCTCAGTCCACGTGAGCCAGTTTGCAAAGTTACCCCTTCCTGATGGTGATGAAATATTATTTGGCTATTTTCTCCACCAAGCTGGACATGCCCTCCAGGTTAGGAGGTTGAGCAAATAAACAGGAGAAAACAGGGACAAGCTTCTTGTTTCAGGCCCTTGGGATCACCCTGGGGAATCAAACGTCCCAGGAAATAGACCAGCAAACGTATGACGACACCCAGCAAAGTTTCCATGTAGAAATTTACAGTTGCAAAGTGTGTCATCGCTCATATTTATTGGCTATTCCTCAATTAAATCTTGACCAAATTGTTTTCAAAGTTACCCTTCCGTGGTTTTCATCGCACCATCTTCTCTATTAAACTTCAGGTTGGTTGAGGGCAGAGACACCCTTCTAGTTTGTGGCCTTCTCCGTGGCCTGCTCTGGGTGTGGTCCCCGGAGACAAACTCACCCACAGCCCCTCTGGTTATAACCAGGCCACAAATGGAGGCCACCACACCTGTTACCACAGGACCTGGCTCCCGGGCCCCGGCCGCCTGCACGGGGCATCTGGTGCCCCAACCAAGGCAGACTCCGGGAGGAGAGCAAGAGGCCTGCAGCAGCCCAGCTCAGGAAGCCCTGGGCCCACGGGCTGGATCCACTAGAATGTTCCTCGTTCTTAGGGAGTTTGGAGGGGTGGGGGCAAACAGGGCCAGGGCACAGAGAGAGAAGGAGCCACATGGAGGAGAGAGCCCGCGGGTCAGGCACAGATCAAGGCAGAGGGACAGGAGCCACTTGCGCCAGGAGTGATGCAGGGGCTGCTCCCGAGGCCTGGTGCGGGCTTGAGGAGCAGTCTCCTGCGATGGCTCTCACTCCTGTCACCTCAAAGGAAAGCCCTGTCCCCGCTATGTGAGCCATCTGTACCCTGTGGATGAAACCACAGACCTGCTCAGCCCCAGCCAGAGCAGGAAGTGGGAGCAGCATCTATGCTGCGGATAGGGAGGGTCCAACAGAGCAACCCCACCACTGTCACTTGGCCTCTCTGAGCCTCAGTTTCCTTGTCTGAAAAATGGGGACACAATGAGGGGCTGCTCAAGCCCACCTATGGGGTTGTGAGGCTGAAACGAGCTAAAGAATACCGAGCTGCAGGCGTGGTGCCAGGCCCACAGTGGCCCCACAGACAGGCATGGGGACTTAGGAAGGGGTGATGCGGGGCTGGCCCCAGCCTGGTCCAGACACACCCTTCAGTCCAGGGAGCCCAGGGAGAGGCTCCTTACAGGGGTATGATCCTCATGGGAAGGTGGAAGCGCAGGCAGCGCTGGCTCCTCATCATCTTCTCCTTCCCCTTGAACTCACGCATCACGTAGTCCAGGTACTCCTGCTGCCTCAGGAAGAAACGCCAGCAGGGAGGGCGTCGGCCAAACTGGCTGAGCACCGGCTTCCAGTGACTCGCCCGTCTCTCCCAGCCCCTTCCAAGGGACTCCGGGAGCCCCCCGAGGCTCTGGCCGAGGGAAGAAGCCAAGCACCAGAGCTGTTCTTGGATCTGGATCGGCAAAGGGCCTCTGTGCGTGCATTTGTGAAGACAGCACAGCACCTCCCTCAACGCGTTTCTGTAATCCTAGATAATCCTCACATCGCTCCACATTTGCCATTGCATCTGAGTCTCTTTATTCACCCCACTTTATGGATAATAAGACTAAGGCCCATATAAGTATAGATGAGTTGCCCCAGCTCATATATCAAGAAGTCAACAGCTGGGGAGGACCCATAAGCCAGGCCACGAGGGCAAATCTAGACTCTACTGACCAGCCTCACGAAAATATGGCCAAGGCCGAAATGGGCCACCATATGAAGCTATGACAAGAGACAGGGGACTTCCCTGGTAGTACAGTGGTTAAGAATCCGCCTGCCAATGCAGGGGACACGGGTTCGAGCCCTGGTCCGGGAAGATCCCACATGTCGCGGAGCAACTAAGCCTGTGCGCCACAACCACTGAGCCTGTGCTCTAGAGCCTGCGAGCTGCAACTACTGAGCCTGCGCTCTAGAGGCCGTGAGCCACAACTACTGAGCCCACATGCCACAACTACTGAAGCCGGCGCGCCTAGAGCCCGTGCTCCGCAACAAGAGAAGCCACCGCAATGAGAGGCCCATGCACTGCAAGGAAGAGTAGCCCCCGCTCCCCACAACTAGAGAAAGCCCGCGCACAGCAACGAAGACCCAAAGCAGC